ATGTTATGGTCGTCCATACTGGAACATATGTCTATACAAATATAGTATAGATATACGTGGTCGATAAAGGTCTGATCTACCCACATAACCCGATATGGCTTCCCCACCAGGAGCAATATAATACTTGAGTTCATCCATGAATCTTTATGAAGTTTTAAACATAATCGTAATGTTTAAATAAAGGCAATTTACTATCAAGTCACTCAAATCCGAATGAAAGCTCTACTTCATCCATGATAATAATTGCTGATGCCATAACTTCTTAACGATCATAGGAAAAGAACTTATTTATTTGACCTCCTACTTACAATGTTTTAAACTTTAATACTAACTTAAATTTTGTTAATTGGTAATAGAACTAAAATTTATTTGAAATGTCTCATCAATCTCACATCACCAATCCAAACTCAAACTCTGATTCCACCCTAAAGGAAACATTAACGGAGAATCTCAAGGGATACCAAGTGCTCGTGGACAATCTTACCAACCATCTTGGAAATTTAATTAAGCACGATGAAAAACGATCCTCAGACCTATTTGAAATTATAGGTTTGCTTTCCCAACAAGTTACCGAACTTCAGAAATATGCTGATGCTCTGCAAAAGCATGCTGATGCTCTGCTTAAACAAGCTGAGGCTCTGCAAAAACAAGCTGATGCTATGCAAAAACAAGTCGAAATCCTGCAAAAACAGGCTGATGACTCGAGAGAACTCACCAAAGAAATCTTATTGATGTCCAAAGAGTTCCGCTCTGGCTCTGTTGTCTCTTCAGGTGACAACCCCAGTGCTCTTCAACAAATCACTGATTACCATATTGATGATAAGTTAGATCTGATTTATAAATCCTCGGTTCAGAAATTCTCTAAACTGCTTAGATCAGATCTGGGGATCGGTCCTTTATTGAAATACTTTTATGATTTCAGAGCATTCCTTGAATTCCACAAAAAGGGTCACTTAGCTGACTACTTAGATGGAATGGATGTTAAAAATATTACTCTGTCCGAGAAAGATACACTTGGACAAATGATCCGCTCCGCTGTTGATAATAAAATTGAAGAAGATTTAAGAATTAATCCTCTCACTACTTCGGATCAGAAGGAAGATGACTATGCCATCAAACTTTTTAATTATGTTATGAAGAAAGTAATTGGTAAAAAGCTTGAACTTCAAGACTATTTGTCTTATGCTAACACTATTCATTTGCAAGTCAAGCAAAATGGGTTGAATTTATATAAATTTAGAATCGGTCAACTTAAACACTTACAAACATGGTTCAACCTTGGGAATAACGAACCACATGCCATCAACAATTTATATAATAATCTTCCAGAAAATGCTAAACGCTACATAAGAAAATCATGGTGTGATGATAATAATATCGCCTCTACCAGTAAAGTCGAAGACTTAGATGATGACATAAAAGACGGTTTAACAACATTTGACCAATACTTGGGATATGCTACAGTTGCTTATCATAATATGCCGATGGAAAATGATTCCTCGTCAATTATGAAAACCCGAGTATCTCATCCACCTAACAAGGATGAAAATAAAAGAAATATTAGTAATAAACCAAAAAGTAGCAACAAGAAAGAAAAGGCGTTTGTGAATAAAGCTACTACTATTACTAATACCACCAGTGGAGATTCTGCGAGGCCTAGTTATCATTGATTCGGGTGCAGATGTGTCAATCACCCATAGAGTTGAATTAATTCACGACTATGTTAGCCTCAAAGATAGCCACATGGGTTGCGTCGGTATAAATGATGAATCTACGCCAATTGACGGTGTCGGTTTCTTGCTATTGAATTTCGGAGGAGAACTAATTAAATTAAATGTTTTCCATGTACCATCTACACAAAACACATGTATCAGTGAAAATGATTTGATGAAAGCTGATCAAAGAATTAAAGTAGACTCATACTGGTCTGATTCTAATGAATTAAAAAGATTCATTTCTATTCCACTTCTTGATATTGTTCTTCCCTTAGATCTTGCTGGTCCAAATCAGAATTTATCTGTTTTGCCCGAACAACATTTGATCCCATCTACTACACCTGTTGTCTTCAATCTCCATGCTAAGCTTGGTCATATGAATACTCGGGATATCAGGAAATCTATTGAAAAGGGTACAATACGTGCCGATAAAAAGGCTATCAAAACCTTAGATGATATTGATAGAAATAAATGTGTGTCCTGTATGCAGGGTAAGGCATCTCGATCTGCTGCCAGATCTGGATCCCGAGATAACAATCTCGATCATATACCCTTTGCTCAAGTACATTCCGACATATGTCTCGTTGATAAGAAGAGTGCTACTCCGAGTTATATCAACTTTAGATGTGCTTATACTGGATATACAGTTATCTACCTTATTTCAAAGAAATACGAAGCAGTGGATAGAATCCATGAATTTATCAATTGGGTCAAGAATCAGTTCCATTATAGAAATTATAGAGTCTTACGATTATTTGTCGATAAAGGGAAAGAATATCTCAATGATGATGTTAGTAACTTACTTACTTCAGCTGGTATTACCTTACATACCACATCGGGCTATTCTCCGGCATCCAATGGTACAGCCGAAAGGCATAACTTAACTACCATGAATGATGTGAGAACATTGTTACAAGCTTCTAAATTACCAAATAAATTTTGGCCGGAGGCAGCAATTCATTCTACCTTTTTAAGAAACCATACATACGTTGATAAACTTAAGGACTCACCCGCAGGTTACATCGGGCTTTCACCATTAGATACCAGACGCTTACATACTTTTGGGGAATTTTGTATTGTAGCCATACTACCCTATGAATCAAAAACGGAGACAAGAGGTTCTCCTGCTATATATTTAGGCTATGACATTGGTACGTTCGGACACGCCGTATTCATTCCAGAAAAACCTAGTGATCGAAAGTGTACTAGAGGTTTTCATGAATACACTAGGCATGTATGCTTTCTTCCACATCTACAATATTTTAGGGATTATTTTTCCAATGGGAGTCCTGAAATACCCTATGATATTATGCAAAGTGACACGTCCATCCCTTTTATGTTAAACGACCAAGACTATAGTGAAGACTTGGAAATTCATTCGTCGACTGACACCATCGACCAGAATGAAACTGCTATCGCTAATGAAGTTGTCGGCAATCCGGATCCACATGGTACAGGCATTAACTCTTATGACTTTAATTCTCATACATCTGAAGGCTCTTCGGATCCTGATTATCAATTACCAGCTCAGGATGTCTCAATGTATGATTCCTATACGGACTCACCCACTCCAGCCTCAAAAACCATGACTAGCCAAAACTCTGGTGATAATTCCACAGCCGAGGATATCCCTAATAACTTGAAGGAACACGGGCGAGATTCCTTGCAACGTTATAGGTCATTTCCCTCCTCACAACATTCTTCGGAACCTGATGCCCCGCAAACTCCAACGGCGGAAGACGTTGACGGAGCTGTCAATCCGAATGATGCTACCGATGGTCGTACAGACCATGGTAATTCTCCTGCTGAAGAATCTGCTAAACCTACCGAAGCTTTGGCGACTCCTCAGGATGCACCTCTGATCACTAGTGCTGGAAACTTTCAACTCCCTTCAGTTCACATTCCAGATGACGATGCTTATACTGGTGATGATGAACTGGAACCCCAGGATATCCCTCAACCCGTATCCGGGACACTTGATCCTCCAAAATTGCTTACAGATCCAACCAAGACCCATGGACTGGAACAACCTTTCGTACACACAATGGATCAACCCAAATCCCAAGAATCAAGAAAAAGAGTCTATCAGGATTCATCTGGCACAGAAGGTAATCCCATATCTCAGAAACCCCCTCTAAAGAAATCATTTGCTAGTTTGTTCCCTCACAGAAATCATCAACGCCGTCGTGAAGACTCCTCTGTTGTTGCTGGTGCTGATAATCCGATCTATGTCAACTTTGTTGCCAACCTTTCCTTAAATCATGCTGCTTCTGAGGCTATTCTAGGACGTGGTACCGCTCCTACCTCATTTAAGGCTGCTATCTCAGGGATTGATAAAGATGAGTGGAAGCAGTCCATTGATGACGAATTGGCTTCTCATCGCTCACTCGGGACATGGGATTTCGAACCAATCATTACAAATGATCCCGATATCCTTGCCCGGACTGTCCACACTCATTGGGTATTCAATGTCAAAGCAGATGGCCGTAAGAAATCACGCCTTGTCGCTCGTGGCGATAGGCAAAACCCTGAAACATACACTGACATCTCTTCTCCGACCTTGCGTCCCGAATTGGCACGTTCTATCTTATCTCTAACTGCTGCTAAGCGTTGGCAATTTGTCCAACTTGATATCAAGACTGCCTATTTAAATAGTTACATTGATACCGATGTATACATTTATCCTCCTCAGGGAATTCCGTTCGTTAAAGGTATACCCGGTAAGAGGGTGGTATATAAACTTCAAAGAGCCCTTTATGGTTTAAAACAATCTGGTTTACTCTGGCATGACACCATTAGTGCTAAATTAGGAACAAAAGGTTTCAAACGAAATTTTGCCTTTCCATGTACTTTCGTACATTACGACAAAAGTGGCAATGTTGATGCTGTCATTGGTATGTTTGTTGATGATATAATATTGTCAGCTAAGACAAGACCAGCCCTTGATCGTCTTTTGAAATTTCTTCAGGCCAATTATACTGTGAGTACCATTGAACCTGATGAGAACAATCAACAGACGTTCTTAGGCACTAGCTTACAAATCCAACGTGATAACAAAGAACGCGTCACTTCAATTAGGATGAATCAATCACCCTATATTGAGAAAAAGTTTTCAGAATTGAAACTTGACAAAGTCTTAAACCCAAAAACACCATTACAACCTAACTTTTACATAAATCCAGATTCACAATCGTGTAACTACACTGAAAAGGAAATCAAATACTGGACGAGAGTTTACTGTGAACTTATTGGTTCCCTACTTTATATTTCTGTGATGACCAGACCTGATATTGCTTATGCTGTTAATTACTTATCAAGGTTTGTAACCAAACCCCATCCTAAAATCCATGAACAAATAATAAGGGTCTTTTATTATGTTCAATCTTCCAAGAATTCTTCAATAATATATCTTCCTGAAAAAAGAGATAGTCCTCAAACTTTGTTCTCCTGTTATTCTGATAGTGACTATGCTCAAGACTTGACTACAAGACGGTCAACTAATGGTTTTGTAATTAATTATAATAGTTCTCCAATCCACTGGAAAGCTAAACCAACAAGACTCGTCTGTCAATCCTCGACCGAAGCTGAACTCCAAGCCCTCATCCTACTCACAAATGAACTTACTTGGTTCTCTAGTCTTTTTAATTATATTGGTTTATGTGACGGTACAATTCCACCAACAATGTTCGTTGATAATAAATCTGCAATAGATACCATTGTCAATGGAAGGTTTTCGAATGACTCTAAACATTATGCTGTCCGTCTTCATCGTTTGATAGAAGCTTATCGTGAAGGATCTTTCAAAATCGAACATATCTATTCTGAAAATCAACTTGCTGATATCTTAACCAAACCTGTTCCTTCTACTGTCATAGATTCAATTGTACCAAAATTACTATTTGATTTCAAGCTTTTGAAGACCATAAAAATCAAGAGGGTGTGTCAGACCATGAAGGTCTGGCGATGATGTCCGGGCCTGACTTATGCCAGGATCGATTTCATACATCATCAAAGCCGAAGTCCAATAAAGATGTT